TTAATTATGCATCATAATGATGCATTATGTTAATTAACCTAGTGATAAAACTTTAATAGTGGTGATGAAGAATGAGCCACTAAACCAGTTTTGACATTTTCAAGCATACAGGTTGGGTTTTGTCGGGATTTTCCAAAACTGATGTTGTGGCTTATTCTTCATCATCAATAGTAAAGTTTTTTACTGGGTTAATTAACATAATGCATTGTTCTGATGCAAAATTAAAGAAAGAAATTGCCTCTCTAGATACACACACAAAAATACAGATACATATATACATATATATATATATATATATATATATATATATTAAAAAACGAAATAAAAAAATAAAAGATAAAAAGATCAGGTGTTGAAATCAATATAAAAAATGGCATATCCTGACCAGGAGCACATGTGCTCATGTGCTGATAACATGTGCTCCTGGTCAGGATATGCCATTTTATATATATATATATATATTAAAAATAAAAAGGCATCTCCTGACCACGAGCACATGTGCTTTTTAGATGGCAGAGCCCCATCTAGTGGAGCAAAAATAAACTAAACGTTTATTTAGCTTGCTCCGTGATATTTGGCCAACCCAATTTCTTGATAAATCAAGAAAAGCCATCCACGAACGCGTTTCGCGCTGTTGGCGCTCTGCCATCTAAAAAGCACATGTGCTCGTGGTCAGGAGATGCCTTTTTTATTTTTAATATCAACACCTGACCCACTTATCTTTTATTTTTTCTATTGTTTTTTCATATATATATATATATATATATATATATATATATATATATATATATATATAATATATATATATATTACGATACACTAGCGCGCCATCTGTTATGAAAATGAGAAACTATTTTAGACGAGTATGATTCTTTTTGAAATTAAACAATTTCTACTGCCCTTACTGCCCATTAATTTTTCCATTGCAATAAGGGCAGTAGAAATTGTTTAATTTCAAAAAGAATCATACGCGTCTAAAATAGTTTCTATATACATGTATTTATATAGGTCAAAACCACAATCTTTTACAACTAGGTAACAACATTTAGTTTTCTTCAGATAACCAAAAAATACAGTTAAACTTCAATGCAGATAATGCCATAAAATAAATGTTGGATCTTAGATCACATCCAAATGTGTCATAGGTTTCTGAGGAAGGGCTTATAACCACACGCAGGCTTTCAAGTGGCCCATGAGGAAAGAATTTAATCACCCGCAAGCTTCTGGTCGGTAGCGAAAGAGTTTATTGCGATATAGTGGTAGCATAAAACTTTACTTCAAAATGGTCGTGGAATTCTCCATAAGCAAACTTCATTTTAACAAAGGCAGTCTAAGATATGCAGGGCAGCAGAAATGTAAAGTTGGTACTAATTATACCTTTGTTACACCCACGTTTCTTGGTGGGTAAAACTTGGCTGCAAATATAGAGTTTGGTCTGGAAAGAGTCACTGTCATAGACACTAAAGTATGATTATGATAATAATGAATACTTATCACCACTGTTGCCATTATTATCACAACAACTAATAAATATTTGTTGAAACAAGATTGGTTGGAATGAATACTAATGAAGCCAGGAATCCGGGTTACCTAAAGAGAGAAGAGAGAGACAAAGCCAGGTCATTAGTTTACACTAAAGAAACACAAGATATACTTGTGTATAAGAAGAGATGTGGATTTTTCGCAAAAAAATAAATAAAATAATTGCAACTAAAGTGAATGAAAATTTGTTAAACGATTATGAACTCAGAAGTGATATTTCTAGCACAAATCTACTGAAAATATCATCAATTCTAACGTAAAGGATCCTTAATATTCATTCTAAAAACTCACAGCTCAAATTATAAAACTACAAATACTTTTTATATCAACAACAATAAAAGTATTTTATTATGAAATATCGTCTTACTTAGACTCGTCCTAGAGACCAAGAAAGGAAAAAAAAGGAAACAATGGCTGATAGAATCAATAAACAACTGGATAATCAGCTATACACAGTCTTGGTGGAAAGACTTAAAAAACACTACCTCTGTCTTCTAGCTATCTTCTTTTCCACTTTTATCAATTTTCTTATAGCTTTTCTGCTTACATTTATAAATAGTAGTACAAGAGTCACACACACACAAAGCCTTTATTAAGACATTAGTCTTATACAGATTCTCCGTACAAGGTGCAATATCAGGAAAAGAGCAGCACAGGAAACCAGTAGTTCCGCAACTATATACAATTATTAGTAATAAGGAAAAGTAAGATTTAATATGAAAGGTCGACGCCATTGCCCCAAGTCTTCAATTCCATAAGCGCGGAGCAGAAATAGGGACTAAGTTATTTAGTTCGCCATAAATATAGCATCCAGACACAAAAAAGGAGGTTTACTCCAGCACAGCCATCCATATTACCAGCTCCGCAATCTCATCGTCGACCAACACGATGGCCCCTCGATGTTTCGTCATCATTCTGAGGTGTAAGAACAATAGCTTCCAAGTTCTCTTTTCTCTCTCTTTACACCTACTGCCTTGTAAAAATTATATAGGGCCTGAGCAACTAGTCTGCTTGTTTGGGCACTGGTTAACATCATTTGGATTGACCTAAGTTGGCTGGTGTCTACCATTGAAAAGAATGTCCTTCTCTCCTCACTAATATCTTGGCATTCATAGATATAATGAGAAGTAGTACAAGAGTCTAAGATCTCATTGGCCAATGAATGCGAGAAAAACTTGCAAATACTATTTATTTCTTCAAAATAAAAGGCCTTCGGTCACACATAGAAAAGGTTTTTATTTTCTTCTGACGAGAACAAAATATTCTTGTCAAAACTAAAGAAATTAAAACATTTTCTGGCCGAAGTGTCTTTTATTTGTAAGAACCATGAATGCCGGCCAGGCAATCTCTATCTTCAAGATCAATATTATTTTATTCAATTAAAATGTTTCTTTAATTACAATGTCAAGTATAAATAAGGATCCAGAAATGCCTGGCTCATCAGAAATTTGCATAGCCATCCTGACCTCGAGATGCTTCCTAGACTATGGAAGATTCCTGTTGGCAAACAAATAGCTGTCCCGGTGCCAAATCTGCCATAAATGTCAGACTGACGGTGACATTTTTTTTTGTTTGTAGCTTGTCGTCATTTGCATAATTACATGGGAGCCACCTCTATTGTCGTCTCAGTGGAGGGGAATGGCCTTAGATCCTTCCAATACTCTGGGTTTGTACTCTCACCTATCAGAATCTAGATGGTAAACAGCACATTAAGGTCGTCATAAAAAATATTCCTCTTACTTATCACCTCTCAAACCTGAGACGGTAGAAGTAAAGAATATTTGACAAAAAGATCGTCGCGATTTCAGATTAGAGACACACAGTTCTATTTTAGAAGGTTTTATTAATCAATTGATAAAAACTTAGTGAGTATGATGTTTTCCTCACAACCAACTAGAAATGAAAGAAAATTCAATTACAACATTTACATACATTTCTTATATAACATTAAACATAAAAGTTATGATGCATCAGCGCGCCATCTGTTATGAATATTCGAAACTATTATAGACGCGTATGATTCTTTTGGATTTTTAAAATTGAAAAAGGAAGTTCCAAAAATGCAATATAACAGCGGTATGGTAGATTACTGGCGTATGGTATGTATGTATGGTAGTATGGTAACTGGCGAAACCGCTGGGAGGGTTCACCACTGATGAGCCAGGCCCTCCGTTTAAATTTTCCATTGCAGTAAGGGCAGTAGAAATTGTTTAATTATCGAAAGAATCATACGCATCTATAATAGTTTCGAATAAACATAAAAGATGGCGCGCTAGTGCATCGTAATAAAAATGTTATAATAAAAGACTCAATTTGATATTTGCGGAAGAGCAATTGCCCGAAGCATATTATATATTTATAATTATATTTAATTCTGCTGTCCTCAAAGCTTATGTCCATAGTTCATCTAAAATACCCATTCCAAGAGTCTAGCATCAGTATCACTATAAAAGGAAGTTCCAAAAATGCAATATAACAGCGGTATGGTAGATTAAACTGGCGAAACCGCTGGAAGGGTTCATCACTGATGAGCCAGGCCCTCCTATTAATTTTTCCATTGCAGTAAGGGCAATAGAAATTGTTTAATTTTCAAAAGAATCTTACGGGTCTATAATAGTTTCGAATAAAGAGAAAGGATTTACATATTTACTAATAGACATTTTCTTTAAATTTACTTTAAAATAAACAAATTCCGTGACAATATCATGATGAAGAGAAGTAAACTGCTTGTGCTCTAGTCGTTAAGACTGGGAACATTATTCCTCAATAGCAGGCCAATTTTAGATAGAATATTAAATGGCCATTTCTGATATATGAAGGAAAAACAGCTACTTCTAACTTAGCTACAGATGCTTCTCATCCTGTATCCTTTTATAAGAAGTTCCTAAAGGATTTTTATCCGCCGAGCCAGCTAAATCCTGGTATTTAGCAAACCTGTTACCGCTTCCTTACCTCCTTTTTCATTCAGCGTTGAGATTGATAATAAAGGAACACTTTAAAATATAATAAAGTACTCTTATGAATCCTGATTCTAAGATAGGTATAATCTCCCCAATGAATGCAAATAACCATACAGATGGTTCTAGAATTATGTAAATACAAAGGTCGTTTGCTTCTATATTGAAGAATTGTGATGTAGTTACAGTGTACGATCAGTTGTGCAAATTCGTACATAGCGTAATTATCATGGCATGTGTCCTTGGGATAGCTGACATCATCTTTCTGATGTAGTAACCAACATACAGCCGCGACACTGTACTTTGTAATACAATTCTAAATTATTTAATCGCGCTGATTCTTTTATTCTAACACGGCTTAAGCTCTTCGGTAAGTTTTCCTAGTTTCACAACTCTATAAACGAAACGTAATCTCATATATACAAACCTGATTAATAAATAGTGATTTATAACTCTGTCGTGGGGGACGAGCACCTTGTGAAGTCACGAAGCCCCTTTCCATGCCTAGTGGACATGGCATCTGCCCGGTAAGCGGAACACTGTGGGTTCGATTCCCATCCCTGGACACTTTTATTTTTCCGTTTATCATTACTCTTCACAATTCATCCTATCATACTTCATCCTTAAAGTTAGAAATAATCGCTATTTATCTTTAAAATAAATTTCGATTTTTCGTTTAAAAGAAACATTCGCGATATAATTGCAATTTTCGTTTTACAATCATAAGCCGCGTTATATATTGTATTTTGTATTATTGTATTACCGGTAGTTAAAAATCATAATATGAGGTTGTCTCTCTCTCTCCCAAAGGTTCGCAAACATTTGCAAAAAATTGAAATACCAATATTATTCGCCGTTATGTATAATATCTTTGTATTATGTATAAAGTAATTGTATTATGTATTATTATGTATTCGCCGTAATAATATTATTGGCCAAGTAATAAGAAAAAGACGTAATTTTGGAACAACCTTATAGTTACAATTAATTAATGAAAACGATAATAGAGAGGAAAAGGATCGATAATCTCTATATCTTGTCATATATTTACAAAAGATATCTTTGTTCTGATATCTTTTGTTGATATAAAATTTGTAATAATTTCTTTTTTTGTGGCAATGTGTTTCTTTTCACATATATCATCAAATACTATCGCTACAGACCTTACTGTAATGATAAAAAGTTATTGAATGAGAGGGCTTGGCTCAAAATTGGTGAACCCTTTCAACGGATTCGCCAAATTAATCTCCAGATCACTCTACTATTGTATTGGATTGGTTTTCTTATATACCTTGCATTTACTAAGGAAATTTTTGTATTGGCTCATCCATTGATGAGCTATACTCATTGCCGGCAGCCACCATCAAAAGTCTCAAGCTTTACAAGCTTGATACCCTAATATGATTGAGTGGAGATAAGAAAGAAGAAGAAGAAGACTAAGGAAAGCAGCCTAGTATCCTATAGACACAAGATAGACACAATCCAATCATCTGTAATACAACAACAACAACAATAGCATTTATTGGGCACACGTGCCATACAGGATTCTCCCTGTAGAACAGAATAAATTAATTATCTGTAATATACAGAAAGTTTTTGCACAATTGGACATTATCTCTCTATTGTATTTTAAAATATTAATAAAACATATATTTAACGTTATTTATGAAGATTTGTGTTTCCTCAGTTCAACTGCACCAACGCATTATGTGTAGCAGATTATTCAACTAGTAAATGCTTTTAGAAATTTTATCTACATTCATGGACAAAAAAAGAGTGGACATGGACTTGAGGAAATTTTATATTTTTTATATCGAAGGTCGTCTTTTTTTTTTTTTTTTCTTCTTTAAGGAGACAAAGACAATTTTGATCAGACCTGGTTATCTCTCTCGTGTGTGTCTTCAATATAAATAACACTGTAAGATATTTGATACACAATGACCTTTATTGAAGACACACGAGATAATCAAGTGTGAACAAAATTGTCTTTGTCTCCTTAAAATAATAATTAAAAAATAGACTGACGGCGACATATCAAAGATTTTCCACTTTCTTAAGTTTTTTTTACATGAGTGTAAATCTTTTGTATGCTTCTATTTGATTCTGATAAAATATTTTGTCAAAAAGAGATGATCATGTGTGAAGAAAATTGTCTCTGTCTCCTTTAAAAAATATATATATATATAGAAGACTAGCGATATCAAAGACTTTCTACTTCCTTGAGTGTGAAATGATATTCAGCTTATAGTCTGCCAACCAGTCAGAAGAGAACTAGGTAGATCGGATTCCAGGAACACCTGGTCGACCAAAGGACCATCTGTGACTGACACATGGGAAGTCAACCTGTATTTGTTTCCCATTTTGGATATTTTTGTAAAGTGATTGTTTTACTTTGTGTGTAGATCTATTGATAGCTGATTACAAGGATTATCTGTAAATACTTTTGTTAGAGGACAACCACTCTTGTTGATGTGCACATCTGGATGGATTTTATTTAGAATTAGAAAAGACGGATGTTTTTCCTGAGACTGACACGGAAAAATTAAAAGAGAAACATTGAAGAATTAGATCTGTATACTTAGAAACAAAAGAGAATTTAAAGATTTCTTTAAAAAAAATATGGTATTGTAACAAAGGGAAAACTTTTAATTGATATTAAAATAATTGCCTTCTTCGGAACATATATATCTTTTGAAGAGAAATTTGTTGTTGTTGTTGTCGTCGTGTCCAATGAAGAGCCTCAGATGTCTCCATGCATCTCTATCACAGCAGCAGCAATTGCTCTTTATTGGAAAATGGGTGCCGTTGCCACGTTAGTCACCTTGGAAATGAACCAGAAAAGAGAAATTTAAACATATTAAATATGATTCGATATATAAAATACATCTAGATAACGTCTGGTTTTGACGTATATTTTGACGGGAGAGGCGACCTTTGTCTCTTTAGATCTATAATTCTGTATAGAAAAGGAAATGAAGAAGAAAAAACTATTATTATCACATTTACATTATAAGTGCATACAGTATATGACTACATGGAGGAATATGGTAGGAATGTGGTGACAGGATTAGAAACAAAGATGACTTGAGAAGATTAGGAGAGGGAAGAATTTGGTGAGACACATTTGTTAAGTGAAAATTAATTCTTGAAAATCTCTGCAGGGTAAAACGAATGGAAAGAGAAATGTAGGAAGAAGAAGAAGAATTCGAATGGTGACTGGATGGGAAATGCTATAAAGAAAGAAGAGAAGAGTTAAAGAAGCATGGTGCATATAGAGACCAATAGTTACTTACTAGCACAGAAGCTGAAGAAGATATTACTGGAATATACCCATGAGATATTTTAAATAGAGAAAATTCATAATTACGATGAAGAAAAAATAAAATTGAATATAATTGTTTACCATTTTTCTAGATAGACGGGTCAATCGGAGAAAGCTTCAAAATTCGATAGATGGAGTCTAGATTTGACGTCTTATTGATCAATATCATCCCGTCAAAATATCCATATTTATTTTGGCCATAGATTTGGCCTAGTCACTTTGCCAGGTAAACATTTCTTTGGCAGATTGTGAAGATTTCATTTGATCTCTTGTGGAACTCGTGGAATAAAGTCCGGCCTGGACTGAAAAAGACCATTATCCCGAAACCATGGTCTACAGTTAGATGCTTTTCAGTTTTTCAAAGCTGGTGTTGTGGCTTTGTCACCGACCTGAGGGCGCTATCTTAAGGCGACAGTCAATAGAGATGACATCTAGTTTTGACGTCTATTTTGGCGGGATATATGACATTTATTTGTATTGATTCGGTAGCGTGTACAATTTTTTTTTTTTTTTCAAATTAGAAGAGGTACACGATCTAAAAGTAAACACTTTTGGCAAGAATTGCGGGAATATTTTAGAAAAAAAATCCTATTTTTAATAAATTACCATACCAAAATTTTATAAGTGTGAAGTAGCTTTATTACTTTTTTTTTGTACGAGAAATAAAAATATATTAGGATCAGTTAATTATAGTATATTTTCACCAGTTATATATAGATATTGATTTTGTGTTATTGATTAGACATTACTTGTTAAGGGAATATATGAATCTACCATTTGATATACTGTCAGGATTGTTACCATTTGATATACCGTCAGGATTGTTACCATTTGATATACCGTCAGGATTGTCTGAATTGTGTCATAGAAGGTCTAGAGAGTGCTGAGTGGTCTCTAAAAACGATAGATGTATACAAACAACAACAAAAGCTTTATTAAGGAATTCCGCCGTGTAATGATCCGCCATACAAAAGAAGGAAAAATAAAACCAAATATTTACATAATTAAGGGTATGAGAAGAGAGTTGTTTAATATATACATGTTTTGAATTTTATTTTATGAGGAAGCTTTTCCTAAGACCGCTTTATGGTAGTTATATAATTGTATAGCTATGTTTTCTTTTCTGATGAGATTTTTTTATTATCCCATTGTATAATTATCCAAGGTCATGCTAAATTCATAGATCAAATTCAAAATCTTGGTAGGGTTGGAATACAGGGCCTGTCTAGAGGCTCCCATGCATTCCAAGAGATGGTCTGGTGAGGCTTCTTTGGTCCTGCAGATGGTGTATTGTGGGAAGGTCTTTACACCATCCTGGAAGAGGAGCGGTCTTGTATGGCCAGTCTGATGCGATTTTAATCAGTTGAATACTGTGTGTGTTGGTTCAACATATATCTGATTAATGACCTCTAAAATTCCTTTCCTTTCTTCCTCCATATAAATACAATCGGATAGTGTGACATTTCGTTTGTAGTTTTTATTCCTCAAAGCTTGCAATAAATGGCTTTATTTTTTATTATTTGAAGGTGATCGTCTTTTAAGAATGTTGATGTAATTCGGACTTGAGTAATGTATCCTATTATGTTTGAAGATAAATTGCAAGAGAAATATTGTTTAGGAGTAAAACTATTGTAAAATGAAGAAAAGAAAGAAGGCATCTCCTTATCGTGCAACTGAAAGTTGCTGATGGCTTGCGCCATCTATCTGAATAAATATCAACTATTCGTAGATTTTAATTATTCCAAATTGGGCCAAATACCCATTCTTGATTAATCAAGAAAAGCTAACCACGTTCGGGCTGTTGGCCCTCGTCAGCGTGGTGCAAGCTGTACCTCAACGACCAAAAAACTGGTCATTCAGGCATTCTGAAAAATCATGAAACGGGTAGTTAAGGCCAGAATTGTGTGAGAACGGAAAACAATGTTGATACAATTCAACGCGATATAATTCAAATTGTAAAATATATTTATAACCAGAGTAAGACCTCGAGTATTCGCCTCGACCTCGCCAAGTGATAACCTAAGTGTTGTAAAGCGGCGAATGTCCCGGAAAGGTAAAGAGGAAAGTCTAGCAGGTTGTCACAGAGAATGAATGACAAGGTGCAATAGCTAACCTGATACCGCCAGTATCTGCTTGCATGTCAAGTGATGCCGTTTGACCAGCCTTTCTGGTTTGTGTAGGCTGCCTTCACAACTGTCAACTACCTCCCACAAATGTATTGAATGATTCACCTCTCTTCTTTAATT